ATATTCTATATCTTATGTAATAGTTAAGATTTGTTTTGACTATTGTATTACAATTGTACTACATTGTTATTATAGCTGATACGACTCTTTAATTGTTGACTGACGCCTCTTTTTAGAAGTGCCAAAATGGCCGCCCCCTCATTAGCATAGTTGTTCTTCTCAACACCAGACAAAATGAACCTTGAAATACTTAGAGAGAAACGAAAAAAGACCTGAAAAACCTCACTAGATTCCATAGACATCCGTACTTTTTAATTAAATCACAGAAAATGTCTGGGGTATGGCTTTTACACTGATTTCTATGTAAATTGTTCCGTTTTATTGGAAGGTAGTAGGATTTTATACAGCTTTTAAAATGAACCCTATTCTCAAACAGTATTTTTAGTTATCACTTTGTGTCAGGTCGAAAAAATACTATCCTTATACGAGGCCATTTCTACAAAGGATCTATTTTCTGAGTTACTGGAATTCATTTCAAGGGTTGTGAAAATGACCTCCCTTAACAATAAATCATCATAAATCATCGTACCTCTTTCTTGCTTGACCAATCTCTGCTGAGAGACTTGAAACAAGCGATTGGCAATGACTTTCAATAGAAAAACGCGTATTTGGAAGTTTTTGATTGGTTCGTTTGGTTTTGAATATAGACGCGTATTCCAGATACCAGTTTTATGCGCAGACAGTTTTGAGCAAGAAGTGTGAGGATCTTTCACAGTTTTAGAACAACTAGGTATGCAGATTACATTTTTTTGAGCTACTGAATGACACTACAGAGTCTGGAATCCGAGAAAAATCCGAATTCCAGACACTTTGAATCAGGAATCCGCAGCAATAAAACCAGAATCCGATAAAACTCTAGGGAATCCGGAATCCAAATTTGTATTTCAAAAGTCACTGACGGCAAAAAAAAAAAAAAAAAAAAAATCTAGGATTCTTTGCAAACTGAATCCAATAGAGTGGAATCCAGAATCCAAAGACGTTCCGGATTCTCATGGAGCAACTTGCATCGTGACTATGCATGATTACACAAATCACGATGCGAAAAAAGGTCTGGACATAAATCCCTCCAGCGGGAAGCACTGACTATAGCCGCTCCGAGAGAGTTTGCCTAAGGTATACTTGATTGAGTGTCGCATTACAACCGACATAAGACAGGTGTCACACACCCGAAACACAGTTGTTGTTTTTTTTTTTTTGTACCCCTATCTTCCTTTCCTTCACGTTTTCATGCTCAGGAAAACCTGGAACAATTGAATGGGGTCGGAAGTGTCAATGGGTGTGTATGTAGGGGTTGGGAYAAAAATTGTGTATCTTTGACTAGCAGCCCAGCCCTCTTGAAAACCTCTACGTTAGCTGTTTATTTCGGTTGATTGTTCTTCTATCATTTCTTTTAATTTTTTTTCAGGCACAACATACAGGGAGGCAAAATGTTCGCGTCCAATTTCTTCCAGGCGTTCCAAGCAATCATTAAAACGAGACGGAAACGAGACGCCTACGTAAGCAGTCTGATCACGCCACTGACTGACACTGCAGGAAGCTTCTGGGTGTGTTCGCAAGCTATCTTCAAACTACTGCATTTTCAAGCGTTTAAACTTCAATTTTATATCATAATGTATCAAATCTTTGAATCAAAGTCATAGTCATTCGTTTATTGTGTAAAATCACGAGTTTTGTGATGTTTATAAGTTGAAAGACGCTGACTTCAGCCCGCTTCAGTCACGCGAAGCTGAGAAGCAGAGTTTCATTTCTCGCTAAACCTGGCTTTACACTGAAGTTTTACAAGGTAAAATACATTTAAATATTACATGGAAGTCTTTCACGTGTTTTGCTGTAGTTTGTGCATGAAAAATGTTACAATTTTTCGACTTGATCGTTGTTCTGCATAAATAATCAAGATAATTTAATTATGATAATTTATTACTCTGACAGATATTTACATAAGAAATATTTCCCCTTTAGAACAAGGTGATAACACAAAAACGTGCTGGTTGATATCAGAAGATTGTTAAAGAATGGATGACGAAGAACGGTAACTGAAATTCATTTTAAACAAACTTCTTTTTTTTAATTTTTTCTTCTAAAATTTATCTTATCATGTAGAACATAAACTAGAGTACAAACACTAAAACTGTGCAACGTGAATAACCACTAAATACTGCTAAATTATGCTRATTCTATTGTTTTCTATTGTTTAATTAACACTATTTTGTAGTAAATAGTGGAAAGTGTTGCACACATTTAATGTTTGTACTCTAGTGTGTGGGCTGCAGCACTTAAAAATAAAAATTCACAATTCTTCGTGTATTGCATCAACTAAGATATTGTTTTTGTTTTATAGGAATTACTSCATTCTTGTGCTACTTCTTACCAGGGTAGGCCTGGAGAAGATGCGCAGCTTTTTCATAAAAGAATGGAATTCAGCTGGCGGTTTTGTCCCATGGACTGACTGCCCANTACCTGTGGACAATTTGTGACTGATAAGCGACGACAATGAACAATAACAAAAAGACGCCCGAAATTTAGACTCGGGGATTCCTTTGGAACCCCGAGTAATAATTACAGAGGTTGTAAATGTCCAAAATCATGTAAATATTACTTGTAACATTTACATCATTTACATTCAAATTTACAGCGCGGTTTTTTCCAGTGTTATCATGACTAACTTACATCGTTATAACTGTAGCACTTCACTACACCAAGCCTCACAGTGTGATTGCTACTGCAGCCTTTTTCCTTAGCAGTGCTCTGGCTTCCCACAGGATTCGTACCAACAAATATGATCATCTGTTTGATCTTCACATCRCATACTAGGATCCAATAGTACTTAGGAGCCGTGACCTTGCYTTTCATTTTGTAAACAGCGCCTCCAGAGTTCTCTGCTTGACCACCTGGGCAAGACAACTAAAGGTCATTCAAGCCTTGAATTCAAAATATCAAAATTGAATACTGTGCGATTTTAGTTTCGACGTTTAGATCAAAAATTACTGTTTTTATGCTGTCCATACTCCCTGTATTCATTCGTTTTCGTTTACCATTCATTTATATTCTCATTTTCTGATATCTCATTTTAATTCACTGCTTATTCCTCTCCTATTCTCACATTTTCAGCTTTTTTTTGCTCCACAATTCCCTTTCGCTTTTCACTTCCAGTTTTCTTTCATGTTTGAAMTCTTTTACAGTTCGATATATACTCTTCTCGAGCAAATCATTACAAGAAAGATGACCTGTTCCAGTGAAGACGTATAGGTCTGTGTTTTGTTTGTTGGAGTAATCCCTGACTGCTTTCTCCATAATAAGCCAGTTTCCACCGTTGAATAGCTGCCATTGTGGTGCTGCATTGGTTAGAATGAAGGTGGTTGCAGCTTCATCAGCGTTGGTGCCATAGTCAGCATTTGGTACCAAGTGACCCTTGGCACAGTAGAAGTTCTTTTTGAAGTCAAACTCGGGGAAGTCCACATCCTGTTGGGTTGCTGAGTAATCATTGAGTTCTGCTTGAGATGTTGGCGCTGAGAACATGCAACGGCACAACTAACTATAAAGACTAACAACTGACTGATTTCACATCAACTTCAGTAGCCAAACAATCCACCATCCAAACAACCAAATAACCAACTAAACAAAAAATCATCTTGCCAACCAACCAACCAACCAACCAACCAACCAAATCCTCACTAGCCAACCCACCAATCAAGAAATCATCTAACACACCAACCAACCAACCAAACTACCTACAAATCATCTTACCAACCTACAAATCTTCTTACCAACCTACCAACCAATAAATCACATTACCAACCAAAGAATCAACCGACCTAACTAACCAACGCCCTCCAAGCAACCAGATAACCAGCCACATGTCTAACAGACCGACCAACCAATCAACCAGTTACCCTATTCAACCAACAATGAGCCTACCATGTTTTCCTTTATCTTTCCTAAATGTTGGACGATCACTTGAAGAACCAGTGACAGGCTTAACGACATGCGCAGTAAAGGCAGGTATCTGCTTCTTTGTGTCGTAACACACAGCAAACAAAGCAGGCCCTGTGGATTTCAGACCGTAGCATAGCGGTTTGAAGTCAGATCCATAGCTTTGACATTCCACGTTGCCAGATATTGCCACTGACTTCCACTTAGAAAATAAACACGAGTTGATGTCATCGCTGAAAGCATCCATAACTGGTGGAGCTGCTCGCGGAACAGAATGAGAATGGACATGAATAATTTTAAAACAAAAAAATGGAAAATACAACATTACTACGAAATTAAAGAAGAAAGCAACGCAAAAGCAAGTAAACTAGCACTAGATTCAAACGATTTAGTAAATTACCTGCAGATAAGAATTGCCATCCATGACTCATTACATAGATGCAAGTCAAAAACCATGGATATTTCTTTACAGCCATCTTGTTAAAGACAGTAGTTTATGATTCGAAAAAGTCTAAAACAATTCAGTGAAAGGGGGTTACGCTACGTAAGGGTTCAAGTACAATGTGTAACTTACGCGCCGCGTTGTAACCTCAGCGCGCAGCGTTGATTAAAGCCTTAGAATGACAATACACTCAATGATTGTATTACGGAAAATAATCAGTAAATCACGTTCGTTTGTCGGGATAAATGATCAGGAATCGCGCAAAATACACCAGCATGTCGTCCATGTTGGTACAAGTTCTAATCGAAGTTTCTTCTGGTAG